AACAATATAAAAAATCTGTGTAACATTGTTTTTTCAATAGAAATAAACAACCAATCAAAATAAATTTCTATCTTGCTTATCAGACAAACCTATATCTTGGATATTTAGTGAAGAATCAGTGGATAATTAAACTTAGAAATTCAAATTTCCCATGTCTTCAGACAAGAATTTTAACATATGTCTACAGCTCTTGTGCTTATATATATCAAGGTTTTGTGTTTGAAACACTATAGTGAATGTAAGCAAATTTTATCACGAAAAGTGAAGTATAAGAATTAACACAACGTAGCCGAAGATCGATTGCATGATTATATAAAAAATTCAATATTGAGATTGAATGAGATCAATTTGAAATCAAGAAAATTTATGTATCTATAATATATTCACCTTTTCAGTCAAACAAACCATTATTGTCCGGAGCGGAGCATGTGATCTAAATCTGAAAGTATCGCTATTGTAGATAATAGTTGTTTGCTCCGGATTAACAACGGTTTCCGTTTCCTAGTTACACGAAAAAATATCATTTATTTCTCCATTCACTTTCACATTGAGATGATACTTTCTTGAGTACAAAAAGTTAATTGCAGTTGCAAGAATTGATGGGAACTCGGGCAATTTAAGTTTACTATCAGCAATTCTTTTTCGAATTGTAATAATGAATCCTTCTTTAAGAGGATCTAATTCATTATAAACTGAATCGCTTAATTCAATACATCATCTTTTATTCGAGACAATTTCTCAGGAAAGGCCGATTCTTCAACGATAGTGGGAATTTCTACTTTCTCGTGGACTTCAAAATAGTTTAATCAATTGATGTCCCTTATACTATGTTTGACCATAGAAATCCCTTCATAAATACCACCAGAAGACTTTTAATTTCTTTTGTGACAATAACAACAATTTTGGCACTTTCAATGTTCGTACCACGGTTATTTAGTATGGTGCAATTTTCTATTCTCATTGTAAATAAGGCTAAAAGTTACCTTTTCATGGAGCATCCGGTTTGACAACCTCATCATCGATGCTATAACTTTTATCACGAGTTTTTTTTCTGGCAGTCCCAAAAGTTAATGTTCGATTTGAACCAATGCTTACGATGATTTATAGCAACAAAACGGAAATATCATATCACTAATGCAGTAAACAAATATTAATCTAAGTTTCGATAAATTTTCAGAAATAAATTAATTTCGTAATATTATTTCCTGAACTTTTTATTATAGAATCCAAGGTGTTGCGCAATATTGTCGTTAAGTTGATACAGTAACAGTCATCCTTTGGATGATAATGAATTTTTCAATAACTGTTACAATACTTCGGCAATTTGTGCTTCTAAATTTCGAAAAAAAACATAGTATCTGAATTACAAAAAAAAAAAAAAATAGCCATTTTATTTACAGAATCTAAAAGAAAAATTATTTAACTCGTCAAACATACCTTTCAAAATACTTTTTATCCGCTTCTCCGTTTTGTTCTCTTCCCATTTTTTAACAGCTGCGATAAAGCTATTATCATTTCAATAGCTTCTTTGTCAGCTTGTACTGTATATTGAAGCAATGAATTTCTCGGCACGTTCTTCGTTTCATTCCAAGAGCAATATTTCCATTGCATTGTCTTATTAATCATTTAGATGACTTATAATTAGCATCCATTCACCAAATGGTGAATGCAATAACTCAAACGTTATGATGGCACACTCCATTTTAAGATAGTTTCACAGGTGTTGTAAACTTCATTGACACTTTTAAGACCACGGTAATTGGTGACTTCTTCATTTAGAACAACACAGTTATCTTCGGCTTGATGAGTAGCAAGTGTACGAATATAACGGATATTGACAAGGCCCATGAATCTTCCAAACAATTATATGTTAACGCTGGAAAAAGAACTCTTAGAATATGCCGATAATGGGATTGAAAATTGTATAAAGCTGATTAAAAACAAAGGGGATACAATTCAAAAAATCAACCACACCGGAGGAATGTGATGGTGCAGTATCTAATCAAAAGAATAACGGATCTTTTGAAGTTAGCAAGACGATATGTAAAGAATTAACGTTCCAGTTGCAGAAGTGACAATTAAAAGTAAAAAAATGTGCACAAAATAAGCAACTTAAATTCCCCAAATCAGATTCGTGATGGAAAAAAAAACGTGGGTATAATAAAACTTGTGTATACCTTTAAAAAACTATGATTTAATTAGAGGGTTGCGATTAGAAGTTGCGCCCATAGATGGACAAAATTATTATGTATTCTTAGTATTACTTGAGATTTTAACTCTTGCTAAAGATAGAACCATACGAACTGATGTTTAAAGCAAAATTCAAGAGATGAACTTTTGTTTTAAAAAAAAGTTCAATCCGGCTATTAAGCCATAGTACGTACATATTGTGTATATGTTGTGCGTGAAATTAGAATGGGTGTGGATTTAAATTTGAATTAGAGATGCGTAAGGTCAAAATAGAAGGTTTGCGTTGAACTAAATTGATGATTATATAAGTGATGCTAAGAAAACAAAA